ACCGTATATTGCCGTAGTCGTGTGTTTATTAGTCACGTTGAATCAATGAAAGCAGTTGAATCTTCTGTTTATTCAGCTGCAGCGATAGGCATTTTCTGGGTTTCTTCTGCGAGGCGTATTTGGATTTTCAGCGCGAGATGGAGATTTATTAAACCTTGCAAACTTAGTCGGATCCAGTTGTGAGATCTTGTGAAGTGTGCATGTGTATCCTGCATGATCGTGTGTTCTCTGCGTGATGGCGATCCATGTGAATTGAATGCGGACTGGAGGAGAGTTCAGCTTCAGTGGAGACGCGCGATCGACAAACTTTAAACTCGTGATTTTAAATTATGCTGCGCTTTATGTATTTGCCCACTGCCATATTCATGTAATTTCTACTGTGTGCTGTATGTAAAATGAGTGTTACCTTGGCTTTATTTTAAAAAATATGATTCCCAATGCACACAAACTTCCCAGAATACTGAGTGCCCTGTTGGTTACAGTGTTTACTTCCTTTTTAATTATATTTTTATTAAATATTTATTTATTTGTGATATACTTTGTCATCTAAAGTATAAGTATGTTTATTTAACATTTATTTTTTAATCCATTTTCAAATGATTTCAAATTTCTTAAATATCAATTAAAATAAATAAATTTATATCGGCAGTCAAAAAACCAATATCGGTCGACCACTATACTTAACTGTCATGTATAATAATGTCATGATCCCAAAAATCTTAAAAATGGCATAATAATTTTTAAGAATAATATCACATCTTGGTATGTTTTAAATTTTGGGGTGAATAGGACCTGTTTTGTGCAACCTTTGCGCAACAAAAACAAAATAACTGAAAATCCCTTGATTTTCCCTTGAGACACGCCAACATAGAACAGTGTAAACCACAAAGGTCATTTTGATGTAGAAATCTGTCAGATGAGACAACATCCAGGAAACCAGCAATTGAAAAAAAAAAAAAAAAAAATTCACAATTTTAAGCTAAAGCAGGAAGCCAAAGCAGAACTACAAAAACACACTTACCTGAATAATGTTGTCGGCTGTGGTCTCTATTAGCAAGGCTTCAACCTGTTCAGCTACAGGTGGTGGTGAGGCCGGTTGAGGGGTCGGGGTGGGCGGGGCTATAGCCACCTGTCTCTTCCTCCCCCTCTTGCCCTTCACTGGAGCAGCAGCAGTCTCCGTAACAACCTGCACTCCTCCCACCTCGCTCATACTAACATTGAGTGGGAGCGTGAGTCCACTGGGAAGCCGTACAACGTTAGCATTTACGCTGGCATTATTCTGCCGCCGCTTCTGAGAAGACGGCTTGATCGCCACCGTCTTCTGCTGGGGGGCCGGGGCCAGAGGTGGTGTGGCAGCCTGAACTGTGACGGGTGTGGTGATAATGGCCTGGTTGGTTCCGGGGATGATCTGGATCTGTCCTCCCTGAGGCATCATTTGAATGGTCTGAGATCCCTGGAACTGAGGAATCACTTGGTACTGGATGTTGGCAGTGGATGTGCCTGCTGGACGTGAAGGGCTCTGAATAGTGAAGACAATAGGGCTGGCCCCTGATGAACCAAGTCCCGTGGGCAGCTGGATAACATTTCCCTTTGCCGAGAGGAATCCGAGGTTTTTGGGTGGAGCCGGGGCAATGGGGGCGGGCTTGATGGGGTGCAGACGGCGCGTGGTTGGCTGAGACGGTAGCGTGCTGACTGGGGCCTGGGCGGCCGGAGGCCCGATCTTACTGCAGGTAGCCGCCAGAAGTGCCAGCGGGGAGGGCTGTGAATCCTACATGAGAGAGTGTTGATACACAATTAGCAGCAGGAAATATTTAACAGAATTTGACTAACGTTCTACAGTTATCTCCTTTTCATTAATTAAAAATGAGAATTTGAACTATACTAACTATAGCAAATGGAAGATTTTTCTCAATATTTCCGAGACATTTTATTTGAATGTCATAATATGAAATTTATAAAAACATATATTGAGATAACCAGTATATAACCAGTAATGGTAGTTTAATTAAAGCATTTCAAATGACTTCTTTACATTTCATTGATAACATTAAAATAATTATTGGCATATCGGGTTAAAATTTTATTATCAAAGCATCCCTAAAATATAGTCTAAAAATACAGACAAATAGGACCTTACTTGAGAAGTGTTGGTGGAGGGCTGAAGATATTCACTGGGGCTGACTGCGACAGTGGTGGCCATACTGTCCTTTTGATCTGTGAGAAAAAGGTGAATCTATTAATGCAAAGAAAACATCAGAACTCTCCAATCAATCAATTTCCATTTGACAGTGAAATAATGCAGCAGGACAGTTAAATGAATCCTGTGCTTAGACTGTGCATTGTGATCAATGTTTGCATAGAAACTGGAAATACTGAACAAATCAAATAATCTGTTCAAAACAAAATAAACAAAACAGAAAGGCATGCACTTTCAGTTATGACAGTGTAGCTAAGGAGGCGTTACCTGTGATAATCTAAGAGTCAGCGGGACAGGGTTTAAAACTCAATCCACTAATAGCACACCATAAAATGTTCTCAATCCTGGTCCTGAAGTGCTGGGCTTCGTCAGAACTAGGACTGAGAGCCGCTGCTCTAGTATATACACATCTATGGTAAACACCCAGCACTGACCCCATTGACCCCGCATGTACTAAGATCCCAGATACGCAGATCCCAACCCAAATAAACACTTGACGTTATGGTGCTTGCTAATTGGCTGTCAAAGCTAGCAAAATGAACTGTTTATCCACATTTATTTGAACGGGATCAAAATCATAGCAAGTCTAAGGGAATTACATACACCACAGTGAGCTTTCTGCCATCATATTTAACGGTTTTGCAACTTTACTTGAAGAATACCTTGCTCTCATAACAAGCTAATCAGGCTGAAAATCAGGGCACAGCCGCTAATAACCAACGCTTGTTTATTTACAGCAAAATTCGTGGTTGGAGAGAAGGAAGTGGTGTTTTTAAGCTTATATAAAAGCAACATACAGTTTAGTTAAAGCTGCAAGCTGAAACCAGCGGCTAACGCTAACGGGCTAAACGTCAGATGCCTGCAAGTGGTTGAGTTATGCTAACTGAATTCTCTAAAATATCTATTTAACCTCACATTATATTATGTCTTAACCTGCCGTTTACACGTTTACGTCTTTCTACGAGCATGCAGTGCGCTATTCAAAGGTTATTCTGTCTGTGGGCAGACAGACTTAAGAGTGCGCTGATGGAGGAGGAAACTGCTAGCTTAGCATGCTAAAGTGCTAACTAGCCAGATAAACTCTTCGCTGCGGGAAAGAACCGTGATTCCGGAAGTGTGCGTTTGGTACAATCGCCGTGCTACGCATGTTTTTTTTTCAAACTCGTGTGTGCTAGCTACGACATAAAATATATATATCGGTTTATTCGCTCAAGAAAATGTTTAAGAAAGTAACATAGTAATATAAACACCAACGTTATAATTCCTACCCACCGCTCATGACGACATTCACCTGAGGAATCACTTGGTACTGGATGTTGGCAGTGGATGTGCCTGCTGGACGTGAAGGGCTCTGAATAGTGAAGACAATAGGGCTGGCCCCTGATGAACCAAGTCCCGTGGGCAGCTGGATAACATTTCCCTTTGCCGAGAGGAATCCGAGGTTTTTGGGTGGAGCCGGGGCAATGGGGGCGGGCTTGATGGGGTGCAGACGGCGCGTGGTTGGCTGAGACGGTAGCGTGCTGACTGGGGCCTGGGCGGCCGGAGGCCCGATCTTACTGCAGGTAGCCGCCAGAAGTGCCAGCGGGGAGGGCTGTGAATCCTACATGAGAGAGTGTTGATACACAATTAGCAGCAGGAAATATTTAACAGAATTTGACTAACGTTCTACAGTTATCTCCTTTTCATTAATTAAAAATGAGAATTTGAACTATACTAACTATAGCAAATGGAAGATTTTTCTCAATATTTCCGAGACATTTTATTTGAATGTCATAATATGAAATTTATAAAAACATATATTGAGATAACCAGTATATAACCAGTAATGGTAGTTTAATTAAAGCATTTCAAATGACTTCTTTACATTTCATTGATAACATTAAAATAATTATTGGCATATCGGGTTAAAATTTTATTATCAAAGCATCCCTAAAATATAGTCTAAAAATACAGACAAATAGGACCTTACTTGAGAAGTGTTGGTGGAGGGCTGAAGATATTCACTGGGGCTGACTGCGACAGTGGTGGCCATACTGTCCTTTTGATCTGTGAGAAAAAGGTGAATCTATTAATGCAAAGAAAACATCAGAACTCTCCAATCAATCAATTTCCATTTGACAGTGAAATAATGCAGCAGGACAGTTAAATGAATCCTGTGCTTAGACTGTGCATTGTGATCAATGTTTGCATAGAAACTGGAAATACTGAACAAATCAAATAATCTGTTCAAAACAAAATAAACAAAACAGAAAGGCATGCACTTTCAGTTATGACAGTGTAGCTAAGGAGGCGTTACCTGTGATAATCTAAGAGTCAGCGGGACAGGGTTTAAAACTCAATCCACTAATAGCACACCATAAAATGTTCTCAATCCTGGTCCTGAAGTGCTGGGCTTCGTCAGAACTAGGACTGAGAGCCGCTGCTCTAGTATATACACATCTATGGTAAACACCCAGCACTGACCCCATTGACCCCGCATGTACTAAGATCCCAGATACGCAGATCCCAACCCAAATAAACACTTGACGTTATGGTGCTTGCTAATTGGCTGTCAAAGCTAGCAAAATGAACTGTTTATCCACATTTATTTGAACGGGATCAAAATCATAGCAAGTCTAAGGGAATTACATACACCACAGTGAGCTTTCTGCCATCATATTTAACGGTTTTGCAACTTTACTTGAAGAATACCTTGCTCTCATAACAAGCTAATCAGGCTGAAAATCAGGGCACAGCCGCTAATAACCAACGCTTGTTTATTTACAGCAAAATTCGTGGTTGGAGAGAAGGAAGTGGTGTTTTTAAGCTTATATAAAAGCAACATACAGTTTAGTTAAAGCTGCAAGCTGAAACCAGCGGCTAACGCTAACGGGCTAAACGTCAGATGCCTGCAAGTGGTTGAGTTATGCTAACTGAATTCTCTAAAATATCTATTTAACCTCACATTATATTATGTCTTAACCTGCCGTTTACACGTTTACGTCTTTCTACGAGCATGCAGTGCGCTATTCAAAGGTTATTCTGTCTGTGGGCAGACAGACTTAAGAGTGCGCTGATGGAGGAGGAAACTGCTAGCTTAGCATGCTAAAGTGCTAACTAGCCAGATAAACTCTTCGCTGCGGGAAAGAACCGTGATTCCGGAAGTGTGCGTTTGGTACAATCGCCGTGCTACGCATGTTTTTTTTTCAAACTCGTGTGTGCTAGCTACGACATAAAATATATATATCGGTTTATTCGCTCAAGAAAATGTTTAAGAAAGTAACATAGTAATATAAACACCAACGTTATAATTCCTACCCACCGCTCATGACGACATTCACTCTCAGTGAAGCCTTGAAGAGCCCACACGAGATACCGCCCCACCCGCGACCTCTGGCCAATCAGGTTGCTTGTCAATCAACGCGAGCTCGCGGTCCTGACCAATCACAGTACGGCATTTGTCTGATTGACGTTTGTTCCGGCCAATAAGATAAGGTAATTTTTCTATGACAGATGAAGGATATATTTTTGGCCAATAGATTGTCGTGCTTTCAGGAGAAAGGCGGGCGTTGTGAGGCAGTCAAAATAATAAGCCGAGCCAATAATATACAGGCTTGAATTTCACTGACGATTAGCTCGCCCAGTTAGAAATGGTTAAAGCATATCAATCAAAAGTAATTGACAAGAATTTCGATCGATCAGCCTGTGTTCACTCTGTTACTTTTCTATTGCAATATGAAAGCAGGTGCTCCATAAGAATATATGGTTGTTATATATGGTGCATCTTTGACTTTTCAACATGACATTTTACATTTTGTATATGCCATATTGTTTAGTGACCACACTATTAGTTCGATTTAATGTTTAGGCATTGTTAGCTGAATATATAAAACCAAAGGATGGAAAAATGTGTGTGTTCATACTTAACCATATTTTGGAGACAAATTTGTACTCAGAAGTGAAATTAAATCTGGCAAAACCTCTTTTTTGGACTTGCACAGTTGGAAATAAATTATAAATACAAAGGTTTTGTTTAAAATTGTAAAAATGCAGAAAGTTTTCTGTTAGGGTTGGGTTATAGAACTAGCTGTATATAAAAACAATAAAAGTCCATGCAATGTCCGTATTTAGTTTGTTAATTGTGCATGATGTCTCACACAAAAAAAGGACTGTAGTGTTACCATGACTTAATGACAGTAGCAAATAGTAATACAATCATACTGAATGATTATCACAGTCATATCCCATGGTATTAAGGCAAGGCATTCCAGGTAAAAAGGGTAAAAATGTAACTAATAGATATCACCATACCTTCCCAGTTGATTATATTGTTGATTCCTTACATTTAGAACTACAAATGTTTATGAAAAGGCATTTTCGTGGAGATTTCTAGCTCAGTGCAGGAGAGAAAACCGCCTTTAAAGATATATATCGTAATTGAAATCTACAGATGCAAACAGATGAAGTGTGATCAAATAAACTTGTATATTTTGGATGTTTTCTTTCCACTGGTCTGAAATATAACATTATGAAACGCCAATTCTTAAAATCTCAAAACTGACCAGTGCATGGAAATACAATGTTTTTGCCTGTAGTGCCTTGCCTGAATACAGAACACCATGCTACTTCAAAGAAAACCTTGGAATCACCATGATGGTTAAAAAAAAATTGGTAACTCAGTATAGTTATTTGCAAAGAAAAACGGATACGTCCAGTGGCGAGACCCATTTAAAATTCAAGCGATTATAATCTTAAATCATAAATAATGTGAAAAAGTCATCAAATATACCACCACTTATTTTCAAGTTTACTTTGTATTTTACTCAAAATACAGTTCATGTGGCCTGATCAGACGGAAGGAGTTACAATCAGGGAAAGGACAAATAAAGGGGTCACACACTCCACCCAGGGGTCAGGGGCCTGATGAGGAAAGAAAGAAGAACCAAACAGAGACGGATTCACAAACTGGCCAGTTGAAAAACTCCAGTGTAATATAACCTACAGATGAAGGCTTTTGCTAGTACCCCAAGTCAAATGTCCTTGATCGTTTTTTCGTTTAACTTAATTCTTTTTTTAAGTCCACTGTTTGCTGTCCAGTGACCTTTCAAGTCTTTTGTCTATCATGTCAGTCTCTGGATCTATTTGCCTGCTCAACATAGACAGTATTCCAGCACTCCTCTGTACTCCCTCGGTCAAAGAGGAGGGGCCAGTCGGCTGATGTTCATTGGCTTCTGCTGGAAGACTGGCAGGGAGTTGGAGCAGAGCTGTGCACCAGGAAGTGTCCATGCGCTGTTCCATTTATTATCCACACACAGAAATCCTAAAAAACAATCCATTTGTGTTCTGTTATTTAAACATACTGGCTCCGAGCACAAGATAATGAACGTAGATCAGTCATGGCTGCAGGTACGTACAGTGAAAAGGAGCGATCTGGCTATGTTTCAGACTCGGCTTCCTGTTCCACACCTGCTGCCTGGCGCATGCCTTTGATTGACAGGTACATCTCTTCCTCTGGATCATAGTAATAGAACTTCCTCAAGTAGACAATGAGCGGTCTATGATGAAAAAAATAAAAGTTAGTCTTTTTAGGCACTTTGTAGGCAAAGTATTTTTTTAACTTAAAAATTGCTTAATGTTATACATGTTTATTTCAATAAAACCAAACAACATTGGCATTCATTACTCCCTGCAAATACTAACTAATTAAACGTTTGCTCAGTATTGACAAAAATAACTGTAAAAATAACTCTAATTATCATTTTATAAATTTCGATTAATAGAATTTACTTTAAAATACTTTTAATAGGGCAATTCTTTATGTATGTTAAACCGTGCTCTTGACTTAATTTAGATTAGTAAATTAATATAAATCAGTAAATTATGACGAACAATGTGTCCAAATGTCTAAAACTTCAGAAGGTCAGCAACTAGTCCTAGTATTTCATGCATCTTCTATATACACAGTTCAAAAGTTTTTTTTGTTTGTTTTTTTAATAAAAGAAATGAATACTTTTATTCAGCAGGGATGCAATAAATTGATCAAAAGTGACAGTGAAGACATTCATACTATTACAAAAAGATTTCTGTTCCACATACAGTAAATGCTGTTCTTTTGAGCTTTTTATTTCTCAAAGAATCCTAACAAATGATTTACGTCGATATTTACAACGATGAAGTGATTTACACTGATAATATTTATTGATAATAAAAGACATGTTTCTTGAGCAGTAATTGTCAAGTAATGGTTGCTTGAAAATTCAGCTTTTCCATCGCAGGAATAAATTACATTTGAAAACATTTAAGGCATTTAATAATATTTCACAATATTAGGGTTTTACTGTGTTTTTGATCAAATAAACGCAGCTTTGGTGAGCACAAGACACTTTTTAAAAACGTTACCTTACAGACCTCAAACCTCTGAATGGTAGTGTGTCGGAAATGTAAATAAGCAAAATAATGTATAGTGTGAGTGAGTCATACTTGGGGAGGGGCAGCTCCTGGATGTGGTCTATGCGGACGAGTTGTCGGATGCAGAAACGGCACAGATGCTGGAGTGATTTCACATTGCTGAAGCGTGAGACCGGATAGAGCAGCTGCACAGGGGTCGGGGGCAACCCTGAAACAGACACCACATGTTTCATCACGCTGACCTTTCATCTCGCACACCCTCAAACCTGCTTTTGGTTTTTACAAACAATATAAATAATGCCTTTTATTTCTATGGAGCCCCGCACATGACATGCAAGAAAAAATAATATTAATAATACGATTTATTAATTCGTTCCCTCGATTTACTAGATTGTGCGCACGATTTAATAAGCTAATTCGTTCCCTTGTTTTAAGTAAATCGTGCGCTCGATATAATAATTCATGCCCTCGGCTCGTTCTAGGTAAATCGTGCGCCGTCGCCGGTTGAGTCGTCCAATTCTTAGTATGCGATGTAGATGCCTCTCACTTAAAATGATTCCATGCAACGCTGCAAGGCTTTTGAGAATGTCTCTATAACTCATTCCCAACTCAAAATAAAACCCAATTAAAGGTGGTGTAAGCGATTTCTGGTAGCCAATGTTGACATTTGAAATCACCAAAACAAACACACCCCTACCCCAAAAGGGTCTTGCCCCTATTTTGATAGCTCCGCCCCACACCCAGGCAACGATTAGTTCTGTGAAACAAAACAAAACCAATGTTGCACCGTGTCTACACCGGACGCGAGTGGCGTGGCGCGACAAAATACTATAGAACTCATTATAATCAGTGATGCTGTCTACACCATAGATATATATATACATATCTATGGTCTACACTGGATGCGGCGCGGCACGACACGACAAATCCCCGACAGAAAACTGCTGCTGTGTTCTATTCATGACGTATTGACACAAATTTCAAATAATTTTCAACGGTCGCTTTGTCGCGTCCAGTGTACTAGACAGACTTTAGCTGTTGCGGCGCAGACACGGTGTTACTCACCTATTGAGAAGAAACAAAGCAACCTCGGCGTCCGATCGCAGGCCTCCGCTCCTTGAGTTCTCTCCAGCGCTGGAAAGCTGATCCGATATTTACACGGGTCCTACTTCTTGCCTTAAGCCTTCTTTTGTTCCGCAGATGTTTTGCTCTTTTGTTTTTTATCCGCCATCTCTAGCTTTCTGTCGCTCGGCTCGCTAATGTCCGTCCCGTGCACTGAACGCTCTCTCCTCCACATCATGAGTAGACACGCCCCTTACTGCTGATTGGCTACAAATTTGTTTTGCTACTCGGCCTGAATCAGTTTTCTAAAGCGCTTTTGAAAAATCGCTTACCCCACCTTTAAAGTGTCTCTGTCCATAACATAACATGACATAACATTAGGCAGCAACATGTTTATGAGAATGCGTACACAGACAGGAAGTACAACTAATTATTATTTCGTGCGCATCATTTACCTAGAACGAGGGCACAAATTATTATATCGAGCGCACGATTTACTTAAAATGAGGGAACGAATTATTAAATCGTGCGCACGATCTAGTAAATCGAGGGAACGGATAAAAAAAAGTGTGTCCACGATTTATTAATTTTTTCCTTGCATGTCATGTGCGGGGCTCCGTATATTTCTGTGCATATTGGCAACTACCTGAAATTAAAATAAAGTAAAGCTAAAGAGAAGTATTTAAAAACAAACAAAAACTAATAAAAATGACAAAAGCACATAAAATTACTAAAACTTAAATTAAAATACAAAGTTAAATTCTAAAAATAAAAGCTAATTTAAAATATGAATAAATACTATAATAGTACATAAGTAATACTATACAAAATAGGAGCCAGATTACTTTTTTAAAAGAATTACGTTTTTGTTGCGAGAACTAATGAATATATGTAAATCTGTTAAAACTGTTATTTACATTATGTAACATAAATTTAATGTAGCATGAAAAGTAGCTAGTTTTAAACACATAAATTATCTGTATACCCGCTTAAAAATGGTGAAAAAATGACATGTTGATATTCAAATGTAATATTTAGCCAATGTATTATGTCCCATCCTTTTTGTCCCTATATTCCTCCTGCATCAGCAAACAGAAAAATTAAATGCTTTTTATTCAGCAGTAGTGGCTGAGAATCCTGTCTGCGAGGGATATTTGTAGCCTTACCAGGTACACGTGAACGTAGGAAGTAGAGGAATTTCCCATTTTTAGAGTGCATGATGGCTCGCTCAATGAATTCCACCACAGAATGGCAGCGGTCTTCAAATTTAGGGTGGCACCATAAACTGAAGGTTCCTGAAGAGTTAAAAACAAACTTTAAGGAAAAAAATACACTAAAAAAATATCATTTGGACATACTTAAGCAAATACTCCAATTTGCTGTATTAGTTTTTCTCAAATTATATTTATGGTTTGGTTCAAACCTTACATTTTACATTTTTACAAAGTAAAAAAAAAAAAATTATTTAAGACCATGTGAATGTATTTTTTTCAGATAATTTTACTTAGTCTATATGTGTGTGTGTGTGTGTATATGCAGAATATTAGGGCTGCACGATAAATCGCATGCGATATTTAACGCGCATCTTATCAGTAAAGCCATTCTGTAATCAGCGGTAAATCTCCATCACGTGCGGGCTTTCACATTGAGCAGCATTAACTAAACCGAGCCGTTGTTTACAGACAAGCTGCGCAAAACCACGTTCATATTCGCGCGATTTTTTTG